CTATGAGGGCCGCATTGAGAACTATTTTATTTTTGAAAAGCCGCATATGTACTTAAAAAGCAAATTTTTTTGATCCGGGAAAGAATTTTTTAAGATTTGTGGCTTTTTTTGGTCATAATGTCTGTCTGACGACATTTTTTGACAAACAAGGCTTCGCGGGACGCATAAAATAGCTTCGCGGGCTGCATGGGCCGTAGTTTGTCCACCCATGCTGTATCATTGTATAAAGTACTATCAACGTTCAGTTGTACTCTAGTTTTAGTACGTCCAGTAAACCTGAAAAGGCTGAAATTGTGACACCCATATCATCTTCGATAGCCTCATCTTCATCTATGTGTGATTCGGCAGCCACTGCATCTCAACATGATCCTGCTGAAAACGTTGAACAGTATGGGATGGGCTCATCACCAGCCTCAACTGGTGTACTTGCAGACGTTAAATCGGATGACAATAAAGAAATAACGCTGCAGTCAAACAACGTGTACTGCTTGTGTTAAATTTCCGGAAACAGTTCGAATGTATTCAAAGAAGGTTCAAATACAGCCAATCGCAAGGTTGAGTGGAACTCGGTATCGCAGTGAAGTAGTAGAAAGCTACTGAAGGCAGCTGTATCACAGGAACTGTGTGAAGGCACTCTGAATATCAAAGTTGCCACCAGTTGAAATTCGTAGAACTTCTGCCATGGAAATATTTGTTACAAAGTCAAATGAAAAGTTGGCAAACAAGGTTGGTAGTCTAATTATTCACACATACGGCAGCACCAAAAAACTTTCTCTAAGTGCTTATTCTTATCCGGCTAAAATTGTTGTCGCCAAGGTTGCCTCAGCCTTCTCATTTAATACTACCAGCTGAAATGCTGAAACAGATGGCGCAGTTTCTGGTTTCAGCGAACTCACAGATCATACAGATTTTCAATATTCATCCCCAACTGCTCACAAGGTGTTTTTAGAATGCATAGTAAAAAGTGACAGAAAAAGACTGTTTTGGCACTTTCCATTTTTTACGACGGATCAGTCGATCGCATATGTAAAATTTACGTAATGGATTGTTCTTCATCCAGGCATCTTGCGCTAATCTTACATATTTCTTGAATGGCCCGAATACCGCCCGAGCAATAGATGTCGCCTCAGGTTCTCTGACTGAAAGGTGGATTCTGAAAAAAAATCAGTCCCAGCTTTTTTATCTACCTTCCAAAGCCTCAGAACCATCTTGCCGTTCCTGGTAGCGAATTGGTATGCCAACGTGCGAACTTCTCCTGGAATCAAACCATAGTATAGCTTTCTTGATATATTCCTCCAGCAAGCATTCTTCGTCATCAGTAAATACCTTTCTTTACTGACTATAACCAACAATGAAATTTGACAATGCAGAACTCTGAGCATTTTTGTATTTTTTACAATATTTTAGCAATTTCGCATGGTCAATGCTGTATTTGCGGCCAACAGCACCGACACTCATTTTGCCACTTAGGGCCTCTCTCACTGCAACAATCATAATATCTGAAGGAGTGCTACCTCTGTCTGTTTTTCGCGGTCTTTGAGACTTTGTGAAACTAGGTGGAAAGAAAAAAGCGAATTTATGACACAAATAGATCGGTCTAAATATAAAATACTATGCTCAGGAAAAGAGAGTTGCACTTATATTGACTGAAAAGGCTAAGCGAGCGTTGATTGGATATCAAGCCATATTATCCAGACTTTTGATAGCAAGATTCAGAACATCGTTTGGTAACCCAACAATTGATAAACCAGATGAAAAGATGGACTCATTCTACAGTGATGTACAAAAATCAGTAAATGAGGTACCGAAACATGATATATTAATAATAACTGGGGACTGGAAGGCAAATGTGTGAAAAGATTTCAGCACATGGAGAGGAACAGTTGGAAAGCATGGAACAGAAAAAGAAAATGAAAGAGGCGAGAGATTGCTTTCTAGGTAGATTTCATCTGAACACAGACAAATTAGAGAATCCCATGATAAAAAACGGATATAAAGGGATCTATGAAAAATTAAAAAAAATAACCAGAGACAACAATAAAAAAAACATTGGTCAATATCAAAAAACGCTCTAATTGAAAATGGTAAAATAGTAGGTACTTGGAATTAAAAATAATAGACAGAAAAAACAATGGGTTAGCGACGGTGTGCAATGAACGAAGACGGTTGAGATTAATAAAGACTGATGGCGAACAAATAAACTGGATCACAAGACAATAAAAAAGAAATTAAGAAGAGATAAGGACAACTGGATAAAACAAAAATGCGTTAGAGATACAACAAAATTTTAATTATAACAGAACAAAAGAAGCGTACATGGGTATAAAGGACCTTACCGGTACTTACACAATGAAACTAACCACAATAAAAGAAAGAAATGGGAAGATATTAAAAGACTGTAAAGAAATTCAAGAAAGATGGAAAGTACATTCTGGAAACCTTTAAAAAAGTATAAACCAAAAGTCTGGGGGAAATTCCAAATATGGAAAACAAAATAAGAACAGAAAATTTGTTTGAAGAAGTAGAAAAAGTCATAAAAGACCTGAAAAAAATAAGGCACCAGGTATAGATGAAATAAACGCAGAAATGCTTAAAGGGGAGGGAAAACAATAAATTAAAGCACTCCATGAACTAATACAAAAAATATTCCACCAAGAGATGATATCTGCGGACCGGGAAAAAGAAGAAATTATTTCTATATATAAACAGAAAGGAGACAAGACAGATTGTAAAAACTACAGAGGAATAACAATGGTTATTCTACACTAAAATGTTACAAAGAAGACTATAGAATTATGCTGAAAAATTATAGGGGAAGAACAAGCAGGATTTCTTCCAGGCAGAAGCACTATTGATCAAATATTTACTGTTTGACAAATCATGGAAAAGTATATTGATGCAAATGAAAACCTGTTTTATCAATTTTATAGATTATAAACAAGCTTTTGACTCAGTATGGTATGAATGACTTTGACAGGCTATGCAAAATGCAGGAATAGAAGAGAAACGAGAAACTTATAATACTCATCAAAGCAATATACAAAAAAACTATAAGTCCTGTAAAAGTATATAATGCACTTTCAGGCTGGTAAGACAAGGACGTAATCTATCCAAAACACTATTTATCATCTTGCTGGAAAAAGTATTCCAAGTCGCTCTAGAAAATGTAGATGTTGGAATAAAATGTTGAGACGCAAAGGTAAACAATCTAAAGTTTGCAGACGATGTTGGATTACTGACAGTAATTGAAAAAAATTTACAAAACTTTACCACAAGAGTCAACAAAGCAAGTAAATAAAAAACTTGGATTAACTATTAACACAGAAAAAACAAAGGTGATGGCAGTAAACTATCAGAAAAAGGAAAACCCCAAATTAAACTAAATTGAGATGCACTGGAGGTAGTGGAAAACTTTATCTACGTGGGTGGAAAGATAACAAGCACCGGAAGCTACCAGGAAGACATAAAAAAAGAATGAACATAGCTCTACCATCAATCGGGCGCTTAAAACATATATAGAAAGCAAAAGATATAAATTTATTAACCAAAAGAAAGATGCATGAAACTCATTGCTTCACAGATGATTTATGGATCAGAAACATGGATAATTAAAAAGACAGATGAAAACAGACTTTTAGCGGCCGAAATGAATTGTCTGAGACAGATCGTGGGTGTAAGTAGAATCCAAAAAATAAGAAACGACAACGTCAGAAAAAAACTTTGTGAAGAGAGCAACATATTAGAAAGAATCCGGAAAAGAAGATTAAATCGGTTTGGACATGTAAACAGGATGAACATGGTGAAATAAAAAAAGAAGTCATTCAAAAAAGACTTAGACTGACAATATCAAAGAAGATTTCAAAATAAATTACACAAACATCGCAGAAGCCGGAAAAATGACAAAAGATAGAAGATGGAGGCTCTTTGTGACTAGCTATTGCCGCCCTGGGCTGGCAGAGATGATGATGATATTTACGCTAAAAGTTGGTTTTTGCTCTTTTTCCATAAACCGTTTTGAAACATTTCGTATTAATTAAAGCATACTTTCATATTTACCTACTTTTAATATTTATTTGTAATTTTATTTCATTGTTTACCATTATTTTTTTTCTTTTCGTGTCTGCATATAGCATTGCATCTTGCATGTTATGTTTAATGTTTATATGGTTATAATCATATACCTAGAATACCTATACAGGCCCTCTAACGCACATTTTCAGTAAAACCAGACTAGTTCAGTGAAACCAGACTGGTTTCATTCTTTAGTTTCCTAGAAACTAAAAAATTAGAATTTTTACATTCTTTAGTTTTTTTTCAAACTCATCAAATTTTGCAATTTTTACATTTATGTAGTTTTGTTAATTCATTTAATTATATTGATTACTTTTTAATTGATTTATTTTATGCATTTGCATAATATTTATGCATACGTAGCATCTTTTTTCTTGTGTACGTATAGCCGAGCTTATGTGAAATCGTCGCACTTGACAGGCATCCCCTGTAACAGACTTGGTATTTGTGAGATTTTTTCAAATAATTTTTAGACGTGGGTGTTGTTTTCCTAACAACTCATGTGAACTTAAGATAAGCTCAAATTCGTAGCAAACTTTGCAACTGATGTCGCAATGAAAGCAAATTAACTTTAGTAGAAAAATGTGTTGCTGGGACTCATTTCACTTTAGATATTTTAATGAAAATTTGAAAATTAATAATCCCAAACAAGATAAAAAATAAAACTTCAAAATAATTTAAAATTATTAAATTAATCAAACTATATATAATTAAAGCCAAAAAATGTCCAAATCAAATCAGACGACAACTCTGTAGCTATTATCAAATCTATAAAATATATTAATATTTGAGAATTGTCCGTTGATTTTGCCAAAAATAATGTCATATACTTTACAACCTTTTTCAAGGTCATTACTTTTTGAAGCACAAAGTCGTTCCGTCCCCAATAACCAGCAAACTGACGTAAACTCTCTCATCTTTCAGTATCTTTTCATTCAATCTCCTGATAATGTTCGTGGTGGTATCGTTCGCAGTCGGATCGTACACTCTGCCGTCCCACAAAGTCTGTCACGTTTTTTAAAATTTTAAACAAATTATATTTAACGTAAAAAGACAAATTAAAATAACATTTCAAAAAATATATTCAAACCCAATAAATTGAACAAAAACTTGCTAAATGCAGAAAAAGAAGTTTTATTAATGATTCAATTCCAGGCATATCAGATATTTTGATAACAGACAGGAATTCAATGTATATTAAAAGTGAGCATAGGAACAGAAATTTAAAGACTTTCACGGTCCTATGGAATTCTCGTTCGAACAGGGAATCCAAACGTTTAAGATAAACAATTTTTGGAGTATGGAACTACTACACAAGAAAGGGGAATGAAAACGGAATGGGAAAAGCGATATACGCTAAATTTCAATAAATACTCATTTTTCTAACAAAGTGACTCTATAACAAATAATAATAATAATAATAATAATGGGAACATTCTTTTATTTACCGAAAAAATGAAATCCAAATGAAATCAATCGAAAATTATTAATTATAAATTAAATATCAAAGTGTAAATAAATAAGATGTAAAATATAATGCACGATCCTATCATGCTCTTTGATCAACAAGTGCTTGAGAGTAAACAAATATATTTAAAATCGGTTAAGTAGTGTTTCTGTCACAATAAATGCTATATGACGAGCAAATTACCGCGTTAATAAATTTTTCATTAAAAGATTTCGGCCATAAAATTTTAAACAAACATAATAATAATAATAATAATAATAATAATAATAATAATAATAATAATAATAATAATAATAATAATAATGTTAACATCTTTTATTTTCCCCACAAATATGTTAACATTATTACGAGCAAACGCAAACACGGATTATAAGTAAGCACGCGAATTTACAACTCCAAACTTTATCAGGTTCATGCGGACAAAATTTTAAAAATTTGAAATGTTTGCAATGTGCAACTATTAAGGGTTCCCCCCTCCAGATCGTCAAATATTTTTAAAAATCTTGGCTGCACCCCTTGTCGAATTTGTCAAGATCCGCCACTGCATACAAATATATTTAAACATGTAAAAGATCCTTTCTTAAATAATTGTAACAAACGAGAAAATGTAGCTAACATTGTCAATTGCAATAATTCCACCAGATCTGACCAGCTTGAGACAAGCTTCATAGTAATTGTCATAATTAATTTTGTCTGCATCTATGAACGCAAAGTCAAAAGTTCCTGATTCGCCATCATTTATCAACTTGTCTGAAAAATGTAATTTTTTTTATTTTGTCGCAATATCGAGCAGTGTTTAATGCAAAACATCAAATATTGTTAGTAACATTTCGACATTTTTCAAAAAAGTCTCAAGTTTCATTTTTCACTTCGTATTTAAACAATGAATAATAATTAAAACACAATGGAATGCCTAAATATTCCTCTCAATTTTCTTCAACTAATTATAAGAAAAATTTTATAATTTAATTTCCAGTTCTAATTCTACCACTTTTAATATAATTACCAGGTTTATAATCTAATCAATAAATTTAAAATAAATTTCACCACTATCTATTCCTCAATGATAGAAAACTAGATGTCTTGGCATTGATAGAAGTCAAGTTATCTCAGACGATCGATGCCTTCGTTTTGCGTTCATTGTCGGATGGACACTTTGATGCAGCAATGTCCAGACCGATGACCAAACAGTAATAATGGCACCAAGCTGTGCACCATGGGGAGGGATTTTTGTAACAACACGTGGTTGTTTCTCTTCAACAGAAATAGATTTGAGATTTGGCTCGACAACGTTTGAACATCTCTGTGCTTTGTCACGTCCGTGTTTTTCTGTAAATTTAATTTTCATCATCATCTGCAGACCTGGATCACTGAAATTACTTAAGCGTTTTTTATGTAAGTTTTGGCTGCTACTGAAGCTCCTGAAAGCATTTAACAGTCAAATTATCATGGAAAACCTGAAATTTATTTGGAAGATTTGTTGAATACGAACGCAACGATCGGATCGTGTCATGAAGGAGCCAAAGGCTTTAATAAATGGACAAGAAAAAGTTGAACGAAATGTTGCCATCTTGATGTGCATATTATTTTGACCATCGATAAACTTTTTAATGCTTATGAATTAACCTTCAATGTATCCTTGATAACATTACACTTTAGAAAAAAATATGTTTGCTCATCTCCTTCGCCATAATTTAATGACAAGTGTTAGAAAATTGAGCAAAACGTCAGAAGGCTTGAAAGACTAACTTACCACAAAATACCGCCAGGAACTCTGGAACTGGAAAAAGGCAATCAAAGAAAACTTAAAAAGTCCTAGAGAACTCTGGAATACAATTTCGAAGCTAATGGGAATGAAGAATCCGCATAGCTCTATATCAGCAATTGATTACTTAATCTAGATTAGGGAGAAACCTGATGGTGGTTCAACAGATCACATTCGACCTGGCTTGAAAGTTTTGAACTTATGTCAGTTGATGAATTAAGTTACTGATTATAGGGTTATCATCAAAATCATGCCAACTGCACCTGGCACCCATCCACCTCGTAAAGAAACTTAGTGAAACGTTATTACCTTTACTCTTACCATTAAAAAGGTCAACATTTCCATGAATTAAACGAAAGAAACGACCATAAAACAAAATATAAAAATGATGTAACGGTATTCAAAATATTAATAATAATCAATTAAAATATATTCGTGAACTAATAAACTACAAATTCAACGCGAAAGTGACTTACTGAGGCTTTCCAGCGCAGGGCCTTTGATGAAATTTATTTTTTTATCCACTCCTGCCTACAATTTTAAACAATTTTCAAATAAATCTAATAAAAGCGTAAAATAATACAAATTGTTACAAAAAGTATATAATAAAATTGTTATAATTATTTATTATTCTTTAAGCACCTTTGGAACAAATATGTAAATGCGCTTTACAAATGTTTACGTGACACCTGCTTGTATAACCTGCTCACAGAAACTCCTACTTACAAGTTCCTTTCTAGTTGTTGCTTTCTATTGCCGTATAACTTATTCATACTTGTTATAAGTTTAAATAAATTTTTTTTGTTTTAGAATATTTCCACCTTTCATTTTTTGACCTACTATCCTAACGTTGTTCTCATGTTCATAATCTAATCATCGATTACTGCAACATTAAGTCATATTTTTGAAAATACGTTAGAAGAAAGAAGGAATTGAAGTATGTTACCGATTTACTAAAGATTTTTTTATTATTCCAGTTTTCGTCCTAAATTTCCGTTTTTATCAACGTTCCCAAAAATACTCATTCCCTATTTTTGATGTTATTCTCAAGTTTTTCCAGCCGTATTTCCGCATTCCCCATTTTTTCCATTCTTCAAAGCTACCAAAAATTTATGAATGTGTTCTTAATAATTTCAAACAATAAGAAGGCCAACGTTTTGAAAATTAACTAAAAAAATTTTAATTCAATAACAAACAATTTTTTATTTGATTTTCAATATTGCTTAAAACTTAGACAGTCTACAATTCATTAGAATAAGTTTGTTCTAAGTGAAAAAATTTATCATAGTCATCTGTAATATTTTTCATCAATTTTAAATCGTCATCATTTTCAATTCCCGTCAATCGATTCCCTATTCCTCAAAATTCACATTCAATCTATCAATTTCCATCCATTGGAATCCCGAGATTCTCGTTCCCATCATTACCTATATACCTGTGGACTCTGTGAGCACCAGTACAAACGTTCGGACGTACATTTGAGGGTTACAAAGTTCGAGTAAAAAAATTTAGAAATTTGTGTGCATACGTGCGCGCGTTTGTATGTGTGGTGGGCAAGTTAGTGTACTTAAGTTCTGCTGAGTTTTGCTCTATCAGGTTCAAAGAATTACAAGTACAATTAATTTTTAATTAATTTTCCATTTGGCTCATATTCCCTACAACCATTTTATTGTATTCCTGTTTATTTAAAAAACTAAACTAAAATTAACTTTACATATTTGTTGTTAGATTTTATTAACACTGCCTCTTATAGAAAAGTTTTTTTGTTCGTGAAAAATATAATTTATGAAATTCCACTTTTTCACAAATGGTTTTTATAATCTTGGGGCTGAAATACTTACTATTTAATTTATGCAAAATTTAATTAAAAAAATTAAAATATTCAATTTTATTGCGGCATAAAAACAGTAAAAAATCACCTACTTTCTTCCAAAAGGGCCTTCCGATGTTAGCATAATCATCATTAATATCCAGTGCTACTAATTTTCCATCCTCAGGAAGGACAAGAGCTATTCCCATTGCACTCATTCCTGTAAACACTCCTGGACCAAAAAATAATAAAATATTGTAAGGCTGTTACAAAGATAATTACACTTAAATAAATTTTATAATACACACACGCACACAAGCATATATATATATATATATATATATATATATATATATATATATATATATATATATATATATATATAAATGAAAAATTTAACAAGGCGCTAATTCAAACGATCTCAAAAGCGCTATCAAAATAATATCAACTGAGCATGGCATAATCAACGAAAAAAAGTGAAGTGAAGGAAAATTAGTGCATTACAGCGAAAAAAAACTATATATAAAAAAAGAGTCTACAGATTTTCCTTAATCAAAAATTGCACAATGAGCAAGAAAAAAATAAGTCCATTATAACCAAAACAATAAGTGTTCAATAGTCCAACACAGCAAAATTAACAAGAAAAAAATCAACAAACTAGGACGTAAATAAAAAAGTTTTCAGTTTTCTTTTAAAATCACGCAGATTCAATTCCGCATGTCTCAGAAAGACAGGCAAATTGTTCAAAACAGATTGTCCTGTGACGGCGATGTTACGAGAGCCCGTATGAAGACACGTCACTAGAATAGAACTAGCAGCAGGTTCAGATCATGGGACCTCAGATGCGTTCCACAAAGAGCTGGCAAACGTTTTTGCAAACTTGTCTGACAAATAAGATGAGATGATGTAATACGATTTATTGACTAGTAGACTAGAGTTGATATTTTGAAGATTATTCTTATTTTGACGGTCAGCCAGTGAGGTTGTCTCAGTATTGGTGATACATGATCATACTTTAAACCGCTGACAACTTATATAGCTAGAGATTTATCAGGTAATTCGGAAAACAGACTATTAAAATATTCAATTCGTGAGTGCACGCATGCATGAACCAAGGTCTGCAAGGTAAAAGTGTCAAGAGATCTACTTATAATATATATATATATATATATATATATATATATATATATATATATATATATATATATATATATATATATATATATATGTATGTATATAATAACCTCACTCCCAACCCGGCGCTTAACCAACAATGAAAATAAAGAAGTGATAAAAACTAGCATTGTAAATAGTGACAAAGAAAATTATGATGCTATCGATGAAGAAAAGGAGACCAAAGTAGATGACCAGCCAATAAAGAAATCTAACACCTAATTTTCATCTAAGTTCATTTGGACAAAGTCAATATTTCCCTATATAAACATCAACCGCACTGATGATGATTCATTCGGAATCGAAATATGGCCTTATTTGCAGCATGAATTCGGAAAATAAGTTTATTTTGAATTTTAATAAATTAAACGTTCACCAAAAAACTTTAGTGAGAAAAATCGAAAAAACGAACTACAAACATGTTAACGCCAAACATTCGGTAGAATGTATAGAATGTATAGAATATTGTAAAAATTATGGTCTATTACCAACATATATCTATATCTATATATATATATATATATATATATATAAATATATATATATAAATATATATATATTAAAATCACAGCATGTTCCGCGTTAGTTAGCTTCCTGTTTAATTTTTAGATTTTTCTAACGGTAGATCGTAAACCATTGTCAAGTTTCTTGAGTTCAAAACCAAAATTTGTGTTTGTTTTAATATGATAAAACATTTAAGCATGATAGAACAAAAAAAATTTTTTATTCTTATACCATCTTCCGTGTTCGAATTGATACGTTGTGTATATGGCCGAATGCTCAAGTCAGGCCCGGAACTAGGGGGGGGGGCAAATTGGGAAAAATTTATTCGCATTTGTTATAATATGGATGATGGATCAAAGTAAATTTGATTTTTTTATATTACTCATTTTTAATTTTTTTTTAATTTTTTTTGGTTTGTTTTTTTTCTATGTAAAGATTAAAATATAAACGCAAATATTATGAGCAGAATCTTTATCTTATTTCTTATTTGTGATCTTTCCCTTATTTGATTTAAAATCACGCCGCGAAAAATATCGTATAGTATAGTAGGTTAGTTTAGTCGTTTTCATGTTAGAAAATGAAAATGGATGGCAGAAAAAACTTAGTGGAGGTGAATACAGAATTGCTAAAGAAAAACGAAAAAAGAAAGCGATGTGCTGTCACTAACGCCAAAATTAGAAACGTTATTCAACAAATCTAATGTTAATGAATAGTGATAAAGAGGGCTCAAAAGAAAAATCAGGTAAATATTTTTATTATTTCAAATTTTATTAATTGAATAATGGAACATTATGCACAATGTGTATTAATTATGCATCCTTTTGAATAAAATAATTTTTTTAAATATTTCGTATTTAGATGACATGGAAGCTAAAGAAGAGATCAAGGAGAAAGTATTTTGGTTCAACTTCAATCCAACAAATGAAACTGTAGAAGAATTATTACCTCAACAAGACCCCACAACTAGTCTTCAAAAGACATCTAAGTTCCCTTTTGATTTCAGTGATCCTGGTTCATGGCCACAAAGTTTTTCTGATTCAGAAAGATGTTTCATAACAAAAATGAGATTTGAAAATTTAACTGAACCAAATTTGAGTAACAGTAGCCGAGAAGGACGCAATTTAACCAAAGACTGGTTTTATAAAGTTCTCAAAAATGGAGAAAAAATGAAAAGATCATGGTTAGCCTATAGTGAAAGTATTCCCTGCAGACTGTTTCCACACTTAGCTTAAAATCAAATGTCTTCTTTAGCTAAAGAAAAAGGAATTACCAATTGGAAAAAACTTAATGAAAAGTTGCCTGAACATGAAAATTCATCTAACCACAAACTTTGCTTTTGCTCTTGGAAAACATTAGAATCTTGTTTAGTAAATGGAAGTATTGATGCAGAACTCCAAGATCAGATCCAACAAGAAGAGTTGCATTGGAAAGCGGTATTGCGCTGTATTGTAGATGCTATTTTATTCTTGGCAAAACAAGAAAGTCCATTTCGAGGAACTAAAGAAAATTGTGATTTCAGCAACCCATCTAATGGAAAGTTCTTGAATACAGTTGAACTTATTTCGCATTATAATGTTCCTCTTCAACAACACATTGAGCGGCATAAGAAAGGACAAATATCCTATTTTTCACATAAAATACAAGATGAGTTTTTAGAAATTATTGCTAATAACATAATACAAGACATTTTGGATGCAAAATAATTTTCCTTAATATTTGACTGCACTCCGGATATCAGTCACAGCGAACAAATGACACAAGTAGTTCGTTACGTCAAAAAAGATACAACTGAAATAGAAGAAAGTTTTATTGATTTTTTTAAAGTTAGTGTCAAAACAGGTGAAGGTCTCAGTCAAGAAATTTTGAAAAAAGTAGATGCAGATGGACTTAACTTGAAGAATTGTAGGGGGCAATCCCATGACAATGGAGCAAATATGGCTGGAAAATATAAAGGAGTCCAGTCCAGATTATTGCAGAAAAACCATCTGGCATATTTTGTTCCATGTGCTGCACACTCTCTCAATTTGGTTGGTGCTAATGCAGCTAGTGCTACTGTCCGGGCTCAGAATTTTTTTGGAACTATGAAAAGCTTGTATTCTTTTTTTGCACTTTCAACTTCACGTTGGGAAGTTCTCAAAGAAAATGTGCCGATAACATTAAAACCTGAAAGCAAAACAAGATGGTCTGCAAGATAAGATGCAGTCGAAGCTGTATATAAACATTATAGTAAAGTTCTGCAGACTCTAGAAGATCTTAAAAACTATGATTTCTCAACTCCTCAAACTGTGAATGAGGCCAGCTCTCTTTTGAAAAATATTCAAAAACTTGAATTTATCGTGATGGTTAGATTTTGGCATGCATTGTTAGAAAAGATTAACCATGTAAACGAATTTTTACAAAAAAAGATTCAACAGTTGATTTGGCTGCCCGAAACCTCAAAGGTCTTTTGACACTTATGAAGTCTTGCAGAGAGTCTGCACCATCTGAGGCCATTGCTGATGGTAAATTGTTAGCAAAAATGAATAATCTAACATCTGCATTTTCAGAAAAGAGACCAAGAATGAAAAGAAAAATGGCTGATGAATTGTGCAATGATGAAGCTCTGACAAGTGTTGAAAATATGTACCAAGTGACTATGTTAGAAATCATTGACATAGTGATTACAGAACTTAGTGACAGATTTGAATCTTTGAATAATGTAAACAGTATGTTTGGGTTTTTGAGTGGTGTTAAAATTGAAGAAATGCAGACAGCAGATCTAAAAATTAAAGCCGAAAATTTGGCAAATATATACTCAGCTGATCTCAACATTGATGAATTCATGTTTGAAATAGAAAGTTTTAAGCATCACGCTTTGACAGTTGACAAAAGTTTAAAAAAAGCCACATCAAAAGAAATGCTAAGTCTCATTTATAAAAATAAATTAGAAGAAGGCTACCCTAACATCACTACTGCATTGAGAACCTTTCTCACGTTGCCTGTCACAGTGTCATCTGGAGAACGAAGTTTCAGTAAACTCAAAATCATCAAAAACTACATGAGAAGTACAATGGGACAGGGGAGACTTTCCAATTTAAGCATAATTTCAATTGAACACAAACGAGCATCTCTTATCAATTTTGATGATATAATCAATACATTTGCAGCTAAAAAAGCTAGAAAGATTTGTTTCTAATATAATATAATATACGAAACAATTACTTGATAAGTTGACAAATGACATTGTTTGTAATACAAAGTTTTTCAATTTTTCACGTTTTATAACTATAATATAGTTGTTTTTTTCTATGTCAAGTATCTGTGTTAACATGTATATTGATATGTCCATAAATAAAACATTTTATTAAGAAACATGCAATATGTAATTTTAAAAAAAGCATTTATACACCTTACGGTAGTAACATAATAACGTCGTGGGGGGGGCGGCACACTGATTTTTGCCCCCCCTGGAAAATACCCTAGTTCCGGCCCTGGTTCAAGTGTATATACCTATATCCCGTGCCTCTACAATGTTAATTCTTTGTTTAATGTGAATTCTTAACGGTCATTTAATTAATTCTTACGATCTTCAACTTTGTGCAATATGACACTTTTACGTGTCATCGTTATCGAAGATTCCTGCTTCTAAATTTATTTGTGAGAAAGATTTGACAAGAAATTTGCAAATGATTTACGATCTACCGCTATAAAAAAATTGAAAAATTAAACAGGAAGCTAACTAACACGGAACATGCTGTGATTTTCATCAATAATTGCATTTCTGACAGTCTATATTATTATTGTTATTATTATTGAAACATTTATGAACAAAAAACTGACAAAAACTTTATCTAACAAAAACTGAACTCAACAACATAATTGAAATAACAAACGAGAAATCATAATACATCGCACAGAAATAAGATTAAAATTTGGTCATAAACAGAAAAGTAATCAATTCAATTATAACGAAAATACGAAATAATATTTTGAACATGTCGACTAAACAGAAAGAATTGATCAAAAATGCATTACAATGAAAATAAATGAGTTTTCAGTTTCTTCTTGAAATCACGCAGGTTTAGATCCGGATTTCTGAGAGCAGCAGGCAGGTTGTTCTAAACAGTTGGTCCAGAAACAGCAATATTACGAGAGCCTATACGGAGACTCGTTGTTGGGATCAACAGCAGGTTTGAAACATCGGATCTCAAGTGTGCTCCAGATGCTTTTGAAGATCTCTTTTTGAACATGTCAGACAAATAAGATGGAGCTAGACCGTTGATAGACTTGTAGACAAGTGTTGAAATTTTGAACAACACTCTTTTGTCGACGGTTAACCAATGAAGTTCCTTCAATATAGGAGACACATGATCGTATTTTAGAGCTCCAACAACAACTTTTGCGGCTCGATTCTATATTGATTGAAGTACAGCCATGGATCGATGAGGTAAGTCATAAAACAAACTGTTGCAATAGTCGACGCGTGAGTGCACAAATTTATTTATTTAAAGGATAACCAAAAAAAGATAAACTTGTGGATAGGCCACCCTTAACTAAGAATTCCAACTGTAAATGTAACAGAAATGTCAAATAAATACATACACACAAATTCTTACTATAAATGTAACAGAAATGTCAATAAATACATACACACAAATTCTTACTATAAATGTAACAGAAATGTCAAATAAATACATACACACAAATTCTTACTGTAAATGTAACAGAAATGTCAAATAAACACATACACACAAATTCTTACTATAAATGTAACAGAAATGTCAAATAAATACATATACACAAACACATGCTCACACGTACATCATTCTATGAATACTGTCATGTCTCATATAGTACCTAAAGGTGACAGTATAGTCACAACAGAGACTGAAAAATTCGCATACTAAGAACATCAAAATTAAATAAGTTGTAAAATAGTGTAAAACTATTTAAAATAAGTGTTTTTTTAACTAAAAAAGTTTTTAGCTTGTTTTTAAATAAGTGTAGTGAGTTGATTGTTTTAATTTTATGTGGCAATACAGTATCCCATACCCTCGGACCATTAAGTTTGATGCTTGAGTGAAAAGCTTTTAATCTCACAGTATGAGAATAGAAAAGGGAAGTGTGTCTAGTAAATTTCCTTTGAATGTCATTGCTAAAAGTGAAAAAATTGGCAAAATAATTAGGCAACTGTTGACGTAAAAATTTAAATACAAAAATTGATGTGAAATAAATGTGCAATTCTTTAATGGGTAAAATGTTGAGTGTCGAATAGTAAGCATTGGTTATATGAGTACGCGGTGGAAGAGTAAATATTAGTCTTATAAACCGATTTTGACATTTTTGAATATAATTTAAATGGCTTTCTGGACTTCCGCCTCATAAAAGATTACAATAAATTAAATGCGGATATATTAGGGTATAGTAAAGTTCAATCATTATGTCATAGTTTATTTTTGATTTGATTTTATATTA